ACGACGAAATAAGTACGGGAGAAACATCGTTCTCACTTGTTTATGGAACTGAGTCCTTAACTCTAGTGAAAATAGGAGAATCGAGTACAAGGTACACGCATGCAGATAAAGCATTAAATGAAGAAGAGCTTCGTACGAATTTAGATTTGACAGAAGAAAGAAGGGAGGCATCTTTAGTTCGGATGTCAACACAAAAGCAAAGGATGGAATGATATTGCAACAGGAAGGCAAACCTAAGATTTAGCAATATTGGGGACTCTATCGTTAAAAAGGTGTTTCGATCAACATACGTGGCAAATGCAGGAAAATTGAGTCCAAATTTGGAAGGCCCATATTGAGTTAAAGGTATTGCGGGAAAAGGAGCATATGAGTTGGAGATATGGACGGCAAGGTGTTACCATCTCATTGGAATGCAGTTCACTTGAAGAAATATTACTTTTAAGAACGCAAGTACCCACGGTCAGGTATCCTAAAAGTTCAATTTTTTTTACTTTGCCCATTTAAGTTTTACTAACCATTTTAGATGATAGACAAAAAGTTAGCCCGTACCAGATGATGACATTAGACCCGAAAGACATGCGAAATACTTAATTATTTTCGGTTTAGGTTATAGTAATTCTGATAGAAAGGGTTAAGCAGTCATCATCTAAAAAGTTATCCCCGAGTTCTTACGTGTTACCACGAGCTTTTAAGTTAAGGCCATAAATTTAGTCAGGGGGGTAAGCGTACCCGTACTTGTAAACCTTTTATAAAGAAATCAATTATGAAAATTTTACATAAATATTTGTTTGAAAGTTCAAATAAAACTTCTTCGAATTACTTCATATTTCATATCTTTATTTCAAAATGAAGATGAGATGTCATCTTCATTAATGTTGTTAATATAAAAGGGCCCTCTTTTATAAAAAAAAATGTACAACACAATATATTAGAGAATTTCGAATGTAAGTAAAAGCTCGAAAACTTAAAAAGCAGAAAGCATAATATAAGATATGCAATGAAACAATATTAGCATTAACATCCCAAAAGAAAGGGAAGGAAAAGTTTCCCAAGATGAACTTCAAACAAAAGCAAAAATGTTTCATAAACACCAACAAAAGAAAAAATCTAAGGTGAAGGGTGAAAAACTAATGAGCATCAGCAGCAGAGGTGGAAGGATCAACTTGAGAAGACGAAGGCTGGGCATCGGCTTGGTCACCTACAGGACCATCTTTATCACCTTTGAAACTTTCGTCCTCGGGTGTTGAAAAACTTTGACGTTGATGAGTCTTTTCAATTGCCTCTTTATCTTTAGCAATCTCAGCCTCGATGTCATAACCTTCTTGATTAGCCTCAATTAAAGTTTCTAGATGGGTATTTAGAAAATCCCAGCTAACATCAAGTGTTAGTTTGTCTTAGAGAGCTTCATAATCTTTCTCTAGTAGCTCTATCTCAACCCTCAGGTCTTCTTTTTCAGCTTCTGAAGCTTCATAGGATGCCTTCAAAGGTTCAAGAGTACCCTCGAGGAATTTGACTTTATCAAAGAGGCACGGAGATCCTCTTGAGTTTGAGTGAGCATCTGAACTAGATCACCATCATACACCTCCTTCTGATTTAGAAGCTCTTTCAAGCTCCTAATCTCCTCGGTAGCCCTTGAATGCTGCTCAGCAGAGGAGGATTCTAATCTATCCTTCTCTTTTTCAACTTAGTAAGAGGCCTTTAAAATCACTAAGTCGACAGTTGTTATCTTTAATTGTTGCTCTAAATACCCATTTTCTTCAGTAAAGATGTCTTTTTAAAGTTGAAGTCTTTCAAATTGTTCCTTCCAATTATTAGCTTTAATACACAACTCAACCACTTGCTGATCAGTCAAAAATATTCTTCACATCAGCTCCATACCTGTTAGATTGATCTGCAAAAAGGCAAGGTAGAAAATTTATAAACTTAGAAGGAAAGGAGGAAACATAAGGGAAGAAGGATATACCTTAAATGTAGAATGAATAACATCATTCATTAAGGTTAAGGAGCTGTGAGACTCAAGCTTTTCCATCTCCACGGGGCCAATCAACGGTTTCAACCATGCCGGAGCTCGGCTAGATTTCTTTAACAAATTCCCACCATTGGGGACTTCAATCAACATATGCTTCATACTTTTCTCTCGCTAGAAGGGCCAGCTTCTTCACGGGGGATAGCGGCAAGTGCGGCAACAGAAACAACTGTGGGTGTGGTAGTAGAAGAGATGGAAGGATTAACGACAAAAGCGACAGGGGTCATTGGAAGGGAAGCAAGCAGTGGCTCTTCAGAAACAGGGCCAAGATCATCTTCACCCTCAAATCCTTGAGCGAAAAGTCTATCAATAGAACTTGAGAGGGGATTACTAGAGTGGTTAATATCTTCATCTCCTGAGAGGTCCAAAGGGACACTCTCAGGTTTATCAACAAGTTTAGTTTGAAAGGTACGGGTCCTGAAGGTAGGTCTTGAGGGATTGTGGCTTCATCATCTAAAACTACGTGTCTCCTAACTCGTGGATTTCCTACCAAAGAACCATCGTCATCTTCTTCTTCTGCGGGCTTTAACATTCTTCCACTTTGAAGAGGACACGCTTAGAATTTTATCATGTGATGTGCCAACAGAAAGCCTAGCAGCACGAACAGAAGCGGGACTAATGCCACGAACAGCGAATCCTAGGAACAACAAAAAAGGTTAGAGTAAAATAAGATACAATAAGACAAAGTCATGTTAAAGAAGAATACCATGAGGTTTCACTTTCCACCCAAAATTTTAGGAGAGGAATTTCCATAATCTCTGCTCCATAGGGGCAGTGGTCAATATTTTTTCTATCCAATCACGAAAGTTAGGGAGTTCACCAAAAAATTCCATGATTGCTGAAAAGTAAGAAAAATAGCGTATGAGATAATTGAAATCCTAAGAGAAGCAGAAAAAGTGAAGATAAATACTCACGTGCAAAGTTCCACTTTCTCAGGGAAAGGCATATTTTTATCACCTACTAAATCACGGGTGAGAACAGCCACGAACCGGGTGTACCAGCCACGATTATGATCATTCTCGGGGCTGACTAAAACTCTCCTACTTCTCGCCACAAGTGAAAAAACACCTTCACGAAAGAGCTTCGGGGAATACAGATGGAGTAAGTGTTGAAAAGTAAAAGGGACTGAAACTAAGTTTGACAAACAACGAAGGCAAGCTACTGCCCTCCCTATTATCAGACCTATTTGACCAAGACAGACATTGAAGTAACGACAAAACTCAATGATCCTGGGTCGATAGGTGGGTTGAATCCTAGGGTAAAAGGATAGGTGTAAACAAATGAATAACCTTCACGATAAGGGGTTATTCGATCATCGGCACTAAGAGCTATCACGGGGAAATTAGGTTTCCGGTGGCATTCACGACGAACTAGAGGAAGAAGAGCAGGAGTGATCAAAGTAGAGTAACGATCGACAAGGTTAAGTGTTTCTATGGAAGAAACTTGTTTTCTTATAGCCTCTCAATCTGATATGAAAAAAAATTCTTGAGGGACAATTTCAGAAACATCAGGTTCTTGCAACGGTTCATTATGGTCTTTACCTCTAGAGGAGGATCTAGGAGTTGATGAAGTTTTGGCTTTGGAAGAAGAAGGTTTTGTAGTATCCTTCTATGAAGGGGTAGAGCTACGACTTGATAAAGAACCTAAGCTACGAAGTCTACCGCCTCTTCTACTCCTAACTGGGGCAAAAGAGGGAGAAATTTCATCAACAATGAGTACTTTACGAGGGTCTGACGATGGAGAAGGATTTGAAGAACGGGAAGTCATTTTTAATGGAGAAAGCATGAAGAGAGGGAAAAATTGCAGAAGAAGTTTGAGTATGAATGCAAGAAAGAAGAAGAAATTTTTGGGTGGTATGTGATGCGGTATTTATAAGGAAGGACCGTCATTATGAATCGTCATCATGGAACCGTCACTTCAAACTGACGCAGCCGCAGAAAACCCTAAAATGACACTATAAACCATAGAGCCAATCATAACAGGACATGTGTCCCAGGCATTAAATGAAAAGGACGTACATCTTTTCACTTCTGAAGAAAATATTATGATGATTGGGAAGAGGCAGAAGGACATTCCCGCCATAAATAAATTTACCACTTCCTGAATATTCAGAAAGTGGGGGAACTATTTGTATTGGTGGAAAAATAGGTATGACACGTGGATTAATGGTATGGTGACATATGTCATTTGTATTGGGTTAATGAAGAAGAATGATGAGGCACGATTAAATACGAAAGAAGGTACTGTAACTGACAGCTGGGAAAGAAAAAATAGGCACGAGATGCATGAAGACCATAAAAGGGAAAGATTCACGAACAATTGTGAATATGAAAAGGGAATCATCATTATCCCTAATTATGCGCGATCACCTATTATTATCATAGCCGTTATGAGTAATTTTAGTAACAGGCCATTAATATAGTTAATGTTAGTAATAGGTAGGAATTAAGTTAGGGGAAACCGTTGCATCTTTGTATCCTTATATAAGGGTCCTTACCTTATTTTGTACGATCATCAGAATATTCACGAATATATGTAATCACTATTTTACTTTATATCTCTATTTTGATTGAAGAACCTTGTCCATAATTCTTGGGAGAAAATAGCGTCCATCAATAAGATTTTTTCCCCTCATTTATTGAATACTGAATTTCAATTGTTTTTTACTCTCTTATTTTATTCTCTTATTTTTTGATAAGTGAAATAAACTTGGTTATTAGAAATCCGATTTTCCTTGATATTGACTTTGACCACAAAAATTATTTTATGATTAAACAATTAGAATATCTCAGCTTATAAAAATTAACGTTCTCATAATTTTCTTGCCCACACTGCCCGGACAGTTGCCTATTGTCTTCGGATAGTACTCAGCAGGATAAGCAGAAAGAGAATATAGTGAAGTGTTTGTATAGGCATTGAAACGCGAAATTTAGCAAAAGTCAGATAAAACATTGGTGTAATGAAGGGAAAAAAAGATGGAAAAATTGGGAACATAAATATCAAAGTTTAAGAGAAAAAGAAACAAACTATTGGAGTAGAAATTCAAACAGCTAAAAGTTGCAGTGAGTTCACAACCTCAAACTCACAACTGAAAAACAACCGACATTACACAAACAGAAAATTCGAGGAAAATGACTATCCTATGATCACCAGAAAGTTACATAGGATTAGAAAGTCTTCTTGAACATAACCCTGAATGGAGTGTCACTGAGAGCCAAAAACCTGACTCCATCCTTAATGTATATACCAACATCTTTGCAAATAACCTTGCAAAACGTGCACACGCTTGGACAGAACACAAACTTGTAATCAGTCCCAAGTTTCTCAATCTTAAACCAATTGCTCACTGTCTGAGGACCCGGGTTTCCTTCAACTCCACCAGTCACTATGAAATATTGCTTCAACTTGTCATCATAGGTCCCAAGTTTCCAAATAGTCTCTCTAGCACAAATAGTTGGAGTGAAAAACCTAACGTTAAGGTCAGTGGAAAGACGAATGATACCTTTTTTGGGTTCCACAGGGGTGAAAACCACAGGCAAGCCTTGTTGGACCTCGTGGGACTCTTGAATAATGTCCCTAGGACATGTATTGTTTTGTTTAACGTTGGAAGGGAAGAGTCCGCCGCCTCTTCCTCGGATCACTGGCAGCACGAAATAGTTGGAACCAGCTCGGATTTTGTCGCCATTGGTGTCGAGAACTGGAGATGGTGATGGACCGGCTGAGACTAGTTCTGAGGGATTGGCTAATGAAAAGGCAAAATATTGGATAAGAATAAATGAGAGCAAAAGGATATTCATTTTTCTTTGCCTGGATATATATTTAGAGGTTTACTACTACACTATGCATGCAAGTAGAATGATGTGTTGAATTGGGAAAGTAGTAGTCTATTTATAGAGGGATATATACGGTGATGTCTTCCTTGCACGTGGGTCTCCAATATTTACCATTATATTGCGTAACATTTTATGAACACAGTAGCGGTAACTCACTAACTAAGATCTTTTTTTCTGGGAAAATATTTACCATTATATTGCGTAACTTCCTTCCCCTTGGATGTTATAGATAATGTGGCTCGTTAAAACCTTACTAAGAAAAAACCTCGTGAGAAAAAATCTTAGTGAAGGAAAAAGAGTACACATATCTTGTAATACGCATTATTTGTTGCCTCATTAAAAACCTTGCCAGAAAAACTCAGTGGGATAAAATCATAGCTAAGGAATAAAGAGTACAGCGCGTATTTGCCTCCACCTAATGAAAACATCAATTTGTTTCTCCGAGATGACGTGTTCCGATCTTGTATATCAACTTCTCAAATGTTGAGGTTGCTCATGCTTCACTGAACAGAACACCAAATTATCAAGCGAACAAATTTGTTGAACATCTATTTCATTGTGTCTGATAAAGAACTTTGATGAAATATATGCTTTATTTTGTCTCCTTCAATATATCTTTCTTTCAATTGAGATAAACAAATATCATAGCCTTCATTGTTATTGTAATCTTTTCTTCAAGGAAAAGTCACACATCAGTTGTGTGTTGAGTCACTTGCTTTATCAGTTGCTAGTATATTGACATGACTTGGATAAGTATCAACAATTGACTGCCCTGTGAAATAATAATATGGCAGTACCCTCACATACAAAATGAACTTCAGAAAATGCCTGCATTTGCATAACCAACAAAACCTTGACAATATCTGTTAGAATAAACAAATCTATATCATAGATTTCTTTTGCAAATAACACTAATCGTATTTCAATACACATAGGAGTAAAATTATATCTCGCTAGAATATTGTTATACTTATGGTTCTAGCAAAATACATTAGTGCACCAATTGCACTATACACAAAAATAAATCATGTATACCATTGATGATAGGCTATAATTACGTATTTTAGTCGGTTATTACACTCTAATTTACTGCACTTTAATTGAGTTTGAGCTTTAATCGCTAGTGTCTTGCGCTAACTGTGTATTTTATGCCTTGTAGGAGTGATTCCGAGCTATGTAGATGTTATGAAATGAATTCAAGTGATTTGAAGCTTTGAAGTCTGAGTAAAAGCTCAAGGAATTAAGCCGAGATCGTGTTTGGGGGTCAACGGATGATAGTTAGAGCGAACGAAGAATCGAGTAGGCATATCGCGCACTATCTAGTAAAATGGATATAACTTTTTGCTCAAAACTCCATTTGGGATCCACAATATATGGTTGGAAAGCTAACTCAAAGGGCTACAACTTTCATGTTTTATGTTTTTCCAAATTCTAAAGGGAACAGGGTCAAAAACGCGATTGAAACTGCGACTGCGGACCTGACGCGGACGGAGACAGAATATAACCCAACTAGCGCGGCCTTAGCGCTGGCTTAGCGCGGCCGCGCTAGTCCAGACGGAAAAACAGATCTGAAGGGTACTTTTGGAAGTTCAAGACCAATCCCCTCAACCTATAAAAGGTTTAGTTCGTCCAAAGGAGCAGGGGATAAGTTTTTAGGGTTTAGAACAAGGAAAAAAAACAAGAGGCAAGGAGGCAGAACACAATAGGAGCAAGGCGGGGAATTCTTCAACAAGTTTTTCCTTCTCTTCCTATTTTTCATTGTTGGTTATGGTTTTTAGTATTGTAGTTTTACGTACTATTATGAATAGCTAATTCGTTTTCTAGGGTTTTGATGGAACCTTTTGTAGGATAAATTCTTGTTGTGTTTTTATATAATTGAGCCGTTGGATTTCTCTATTTGTTCAACTACGTGTTTATTGTTGTTGATTGAATGACCATCAATTGACTGTGCCTATTTAGTGTGTACTGCTCGAGAGAGAGTACATATTTAGGTAGTTGTTGAACAACATCACTCCTAACGTATGTGAGAAATCAATATATTAGGTTTAAAGGCAGATTTAGAAATAACAAAGCCTTGACGTGGTTATACTGAGCGGTTAGATAAAGCCAACTAGCGTAGTTCGAGAAAATATGTCTAATAAATTATTGTAGTTGCTCGAGAGAGAATTACGGCACCTAAAGTGTTCACGATCAGTAGAGAATACATTGACGAAAATTGTAGGGAACATAGCTAGAAGGATTCCGACAATTGCGGAAATCATAACTCTAGACTTCCTTAATTTAGTCTCCAACCCTTTGTCTCGTTAGTTGATAATTTTACCGTTTTCTAGTATTTGCTAGTTAATTAGTTAGAAATATAAATCTCAATATTTATAATTTAGAAAATTGTTCAAATTTGTCTTCTTAGTGATATTAAACAAATATAGCTAAGCCTTAGTTCTCTGTGGGATTCGACTCCGGACTTTTAGATCGGATTATATTTGCAGCGACCGCTTATCCTTTTTAGGACTAGAGTTGGGCGTGATCAACCATGATTACTCTAATTCACATAAGGATCTGCTGAAACTTTAACAATTTAAATCCTTTAAGGATTTTCATTATACGCATATTAAGTTTTTTATGTATTGCCAAATTAAAACCTGAAAAGGATTTCATCCACCATAGGAGAACATATCTCCATATAACTAATGCCGGAATATTTACGAAAAATTTTGTGCTACAAGTCGTCTTTATGTCCATCGACTTGATTTTTCATTTCACTTTCAGGTGTTGGGACTATCCGTCCAACTTCACATTTTTTAGGTGAAGTCAATTTTCATTGCATATTTTTCATTTGGCCAATCATTTATCCGTTCAAATTCCATGACAGATTTGAGCTCAAGATCCTCGTCAATATTAATAATATTGAACTCTATATTATATCAATAATATTGTCGACGATCATTTTATATCGATTCCATCTCCACCCAATAAAGACATAACTTATCGAGATCTCAATAGTTTCAGGTACCTGAGCCTCTCACATGAGGTCTTATAAAATGTTATGTCGTGGTGCTCTTGTAGAGCACTTGCCTCCTGAGTATGACCATCTTTATAATTTTCTCCTCTCCTTCTTCAAGGAGTTTTATCTTTGAAACCGATTAGTCTATTACGCTTGATGCATGCCATAGACTCTGTTTATCATGAACTTTATTCCATTTGGAGCGTTAGCAGTTGAAATATGATATTTAGCTTTGGGTCAGCAAATGTGCCTGGCATTATTTTGCAAATTAATTATCACTTGAACTTCAAGTTCACATTTTCTTGTACGAGGATCTAGGTGTACTCATAATAATTCATTCCATGTATTACTTTTTCAGCTGCCCATTTTCTCCCCCTAATGTTGGGATCACCAACACATATCCCCAACCTTCTTTGGGGACCCATCTTTGTGCATTGTGGTTTAAAAATTAAATCGTATAGCAAATCGATATCTCTAGATGGAAATTATTTGGTTCCTGACCCTGAACCAATTGTGATAGGGAGAATTTATCATAACTTGTTGGCTAGATGCGTACAAGTGCAGTTGTATATTAAATAATATACCTCATACCAAATTTTTATTCGGGAGTTTTGTTCTCATAACCAATGGTTTAGCTTAATTGGAGGCATACAGTTTCTGCTAAACCAACTTGTATTTAAACCAGCATTATCAAGATAAATTATTATAATTTTATTCTGGAACTGTGCTCTAATAATTTGAGCAATCAACCTTGCAAAAGCCAAACTGCAAGTTGATAACAAACGTACATGTGACCATAGAACAGATGCATCTACTAAAATCATATAATAGTAAACGGTCCATATATATATATATATATATATATATATATATATATATATATATATATATATATATATATATATATACGTTCCAGAAATCAGGGAATACATTCCCAACCCCAGCTGGTATAGTAATCAATTTATCATGAGAACAAGTCGTACATGAGAGTTCTCGAAGAATCTCCTAATTCTTCAATATATGGGAATGTGAATTCTCAATCATTTTTTGCATCATAAGTGAACCGGAATGGCCAACCGGTCATGCCAACTGATATTTGTTTCAATAAACCTCTTGTTTACTTGTGGCATGTGATTCCATAATCATGCATAAACATGTGTAATACAAATAGAAGAAAAGGCGGGTAAACTTTCATATTTACCCGATATGATTATAGTAATATAGAAGACATTCAATCTTCCTTTAATTTATGGTCTCAATATGCCAACCACTTTGACTAATACATCTGAAACTCTAAAACTTTCTTTTGAGACTTACTACAATATCAATGTGCATACAATTTCATTCATCTGGGTAGAAACAAATTAATTCTTTGGGAACTTCTTCGAAAGAATATTCATTTTTCTTTGTCTGGATATATATTTAGAGGTTTACTACTATTGTATGAATGCAAATAGATTGATGTGTTGAATTGGGAAAGTAATAGTCTATATATAGAGGGATATATACGGTGATGTCTTCCTTGCACGTGGGTCTCCAATCTTTACCATTATATTGCGTAACATTTTATGAACACAGTAGCTGTAACTCACTAACTAAGATCTTTTTTTTTTTTTGGGAAAATATTTTTTTTAAGATAAAGTTGCCTTGGCCTCATAAACGCTATGTCGTTCAGTACAACGTTTTTGTATAAATAATTGAAAATTGATAAAGAAAGCCGAGGAGATTATTATTATAACCGAAACCACTCTTGTCGTCTTAAAGATGAGTGGATTCAGCCTACAGATTATTGTCTCAGCGGCTTGTTTAGTAGTAGATTCTTACCTACCCACTTAATTATAGGTAAGAGGAGGATTAAGGCGGTAGGTGAGACGATCATGAATTTTGATTGTTCTAATTGCAGAATACACACGTATTATACTTCTTCTAGTCTAGTATAGTATAAATAAATAAGAAGCGGGACGTTCGGTATTGATGGCCTAAAGTCAAACCTTAAGAAAAGGCCTTAAATTATATAAACAAAATTTTACATGTTTTTATT